GCGGCAAAGCTGGACAATTCTGGCACCAACTGCCGGGCGAAAAAACCCTGGCGGCCGACTGGATGATCAGCACTCTTGGAGGCCTGGCACTGGGCCCTGACGGACGCCTCTGACGACGGCTGACGGACGACTCTGGCGGCCGGCGAGGACGAGCGAGGGCGTCGCTGCTATTTTGCGACTACATCACTCGGATGTCCCTTTGACGTTCCGCAACATTGCAACGTCTTTTCGGCTAGTGCAGCACTCGAATAAGAAGAAGCAGAACACAAAACCCGTTCTAGTCCTGCTTCGGGTGGTTGTGGGTGGGTTCCACGTTACGAAGACGGCGCGACCCACGACCACTCCATGGGTGGGGCGCGCCGTGGCACTGTGACACACCCTAAACCCTAAACCCCTAAACCCGTAAACCCTAAACCCCTAAACCCTAAACCTCAAATTTTTTCCGCCAGCAAGACCGTGTCATCCGTATGATCAGACTGGATAGGCAAAGGAGTCCCGGGTTTAAGGCTTTAGGGTCTAGGGTTTAGGGCTTAGGGTAGGTTAGGGCTTTAGGGTTTCAGGGCTTAATACAGGCAGAATTGACCCAAAACTCTATTCTAGTTACTGAGGGACCCCGCCCCCATATTCGGAGCTGTAGATTCGTCACATCGGTACCCTCTAAACCTAATCCTTCGGCAACCGGAAACTCTAAACCCTCCACCCAGAGATTACACTCCAAACTCCAAAGACATTGGGCACTCAAAATCCGAAACCTTGAAACCATACAATACAACCCACAACCCCCTAAAACCATTTGAAGCCAAAGTCCCAAACCCCTAAAACCCAAATCCCAAAACTTTGTACCCACAACCCTGAACCCAAAGCTAGAAAGCCCAAACCCCCAAGGCCCCGAAACCCACCATGCACCCGACCGGTATTGGCTTCGTTCCCGGGCCTTACTGAACAGCCTCGAATATGTCCTGATGTGTGGAAGCTAGCAGCTAGCATTGAGCAAAACCGAAGCCGGAACTGTGCAAAGTAATTACATCATCATTGGGTGTTTCGGTTTATGAAGGATGGTATTGGTTATGGGGAGGCTTTATGGGAGTGTCTGATGCGTAACCCTAAACTTGGACTCTTTCGGGTATGTGAACAGGTTGACGCTGGAGGATGGTTGCGCAAAGCTAAACTACGAGGACATCCCCGGCAAGCAGAACTGAATGGCTCATGGGTTGAGGGTGTATGGGACATTTTGTGATTTGGACTTGAAGTGAACCCCAACCCTAAATCCTGACGCTGTAGTGTGTGCCTCTTCCTAGACATATCGCCGCACTTAGAAACACCTGACCCTAAAACCTGGTTGAGGCCCGTTTTGGGCTTGGCTGGGCACGCTGGGATTCAGCCTCGAACTTGCGGCCTTGTGGCATGGGAATACCAAATCTGGGCTGAACACCAGAGCCTTTATTTCAACCTTAAACTCGCTGTGCATGCTGGAATTAATCGTATGTGTAGTTGACAGGAGATGCCTTTTGTTGAAGATCTACTTGCTTGCTTCCCAGAGACTTGCCCCAAACCTTAACCCATAAAGCCCTGAGCCCCAACACCTTCACGCCGTAACTACTCCTCGAGGGTCCTATGATCGTAGGGATGCGAAATTTTCGAACCAATTGCAGGACATTTGGAGTACCGCTTCAAGCGCACCCTCAGCCTTTTCCGAAACACTTCAAATCTAAACCTTAAATCGAGTCCCACACCCTAAAGCCAAATCCCAAAGCCCGACAGCCCTGAAGGTCTCAGCCCTCAGAGCCTAAGACCCGAATTGCGCGCGTGCCCCGAAGCCTTAAAATCCCCCTAACTCCAGGATCTCAAGGCCCTACAGTCGGCATGCTGACTCCTTAAAGGATTCAGAAGGGAAGCCGGTAAGGAGCCCTGTACTTTAAAGGCTTCAACAAGTACCAAAACTGTTCTGGGGGTTCCTCATTATAATTATAGTATACTGGGCCCCAAAAACCCTATGCCAATTATGAAGGCCCTTATATTATAGAACCCTACTATAGATCCCTACAGACCCCTTTAAAGGAGCCCTTAAAGGAATCCTATGCTAATTCTGAGGGCCCCTATAGTGAAAGCCCCCTCGAAGGAGCTCGGCTCCGCAAATGCGCTGGCCCCTGTCTGTAATCCCGGCAGCGACTCGGATGTCGGAGATACCTTCGAACCTAGAGACTCCAAGATCCCTTAGTTAAGGAATATACCTTAAACTATAGTATTATATAGTTTGGGGTATATCCCTTAGTTAAGGAAGATACCTTAAATTGTAGGATTATGTAACTTAGGTATATTCCTTAATTAAGGGATCTTGGAGTCTCTGGGAAACCCGGATCCCCAAGCTCGAAACCTTGAATCCTCAAACCCTGCCGGGACACTCGCTGTCCTAAGGACTTAGAGAAGGAAATCCTAGCAAGAAGCCTTAAGACGGCAGGTTCAGTATTGGGTCAAGGTAAAACCCCAGACTTAAAGCCAAAGATCCGAGGCTTCCTTCCTACTTGAAGGTTCATGGGTAGTTATAAGTAAGGCTATAAGTAGGGTAACTACAATTATAACCCATATTACGGGACTTTTCACCCGACTTATAACTACCATAAATTTCTAGACCCTATAGAACCCTTAAAAGAACCCTAAACCCTATAGAACCCTTAAAGGAACCCTAAACCCTATAGAACCCTTGAAGGAACCCCAAACCCTATAGAACCCTTAAAGGAACCCTTTATAACTACCCCTGGACCTCCAAATAGGGTGCATAAGGCTCCTGTCTCTGTGGTTGCATTGACAACAGCTGTCAGATGGTGTTACCCAGAGGCTCCAAATATAGTACCATTATGGAATTATGTCCCAAAAGACCATCCATATCTCATGGCTTTGGGTACTATATTTGGAGCCTCTAGGTTATATAGCTGAGACCGTAGGTTTAGGGTTTTAGGGGTTTTAGGGGTTTAGGGATGTGGGTTTAGGGGTTTAGGGTTTAGGGTTTTCGGGGGTTTAGGGGGCTAGTAGGGTTTAGGGTTTAAAGGTTGGGGGTTTGGGGGTTTAGGGGAGACCGCAGAGGTCTCAATCGTCAGACCCCAGCGCCAGCCCGAAGGCTGGAACACTACAGAGGTCTGAACAATTTGTGCGATTCTTTCTTTTGTTCCTTTTTTCCTTCCGTTCTTTCTTTCTTTCCTTCTTGTTTTTTCTTGTATATATATATATATATTTTTTTTTGTTTTGTTTTCCTTCCTTTCTGTCTTTCGTTCTGTCTTTTCCTTGTACATAAACATACCTCCGTTGAGGCTCCTACCTTGTAGCCAAGTGACAGTCTTTCAAGTTGCGTTGGCTTCGGGATTCAGGGCGCGGGATATCTGATTCAAGGCTTTGGGTCTGTAGACTGCCGTCCAAAAAGCCCCGGAAAGCTTAACCCCCACTCCGAAGCACCTTAACCTACATAGTAAGAGTTACAGGTTTAGGGGTCCCTTTTAGGGTTCCTTAGTGATAGGGATCTTCTATAAGGGTACTATAGGGTTTAGGTCGGGTTTAGATAATGGTATACAGTAAATCCCATAAAGTTTGAAACCGGATTAAGGCCAAATAGTGCTGGGATTCCCTTTACATTGCTCTTAAGGATTGAGGCTAAGGGGTTTCCAACTTTTTGGCTTCTACTGTAAACTTCCAGAGCTTTAGGGCCATGGGCGAACAAGCATGTAATAGCATTCCTCAGGTTTTTATGGGCTTAATATTAGTAGATCCCCGCAAATCCTATTCCAACTAGCAATACCCCTACATGAGCCGCTGGGCGCCCCCAAACTCCGACATGCCTTTGAGGTGAGGGGCATCCGGAGATGTGCAATCGTCCGTGTGTCTATCTCGTCCGGGGCCGCTCGGCCAAGATTGGACTTAGAATCGGTGTGTACGATATCCGTCCTTAATGTCATCGCCTTGTCTCTAACCGTAGACCACAATTGCGACGACAACGGCTAGGACTACGACTAAATTTGACTAAATGCGCCACTCCTGCGGCCACGACCACAGCTATGAGTGCTGTTGCTGCTGTTGCTCCTACCACCCCTTACCCCTACAACTAGCCCATAACTGCCCCTACCACAACCCTTACTCAAACCCTAAACCCCAGACCCTAAGCCCTAAATCCTAAACCCCAAACCCCAAACCCTATACGGGGTAAAATCCGCCCTGAACCACACCAGAAAAGCCCTGACCCTGAAGCCCCGAAGCCGAAAACACCCTCAAACCCGGCCGGAAAACAATCCCAATCCCTACAACCACACAACCTCCCTGAAATAAGGACTAGGGTGACCCCAAAGAGGTGGGGAAACCACTCAAGCACAAACAAAAACTTTTAAACCTTGAGCCACGTGTCACGTTGGTACACTTCTCGATGTACCTTAGTGTGTCATCCTTGCGCAGGGCGAGACAATGCCATGCGACCTGATTTGTGCGTGTCTTCTTACGCAGGGGCTTTGCTTGCAAGGCCCTTGCCTCGCACTCCCCCTGCTGTCGAGACAGCACAGGCATAAGAGCAAAAACTCAGTGGCGCTTTGCATCTGAGCACCCTTGTTCAGGAGAAATCGGGGTAACTGAAGACCACCTAAACCCAAACCATATCCATGCTCCGATGCCCCTCTTTGGGGCCCAAGTGATCACTGAGTGATCCGTCCCTTGCGTCTGCTCTTCGCGAGGGGTATGCATCATTAGCACAATGCAGCAGGTCAAGCTCATGAATATGTAATGCAGAGTCGCATACTGTACCTCAGAAGCCTGTCCAAATTGATTGAAACATCATGATAGGAAAAGTGTTGTGTGCGAACCGAATAACCCATCATCCACTAACAGGTATAATCAGCCTTTAAACCACGACATCAGACTATAAACACGTTGCCCAATGCGCTGAGACGGAAAACCAGGTGTAGGACCAGATAGCCCAGTTTGGAAAACCATACTGCTTGAAATCATCTTGCGCTTGATTCCCGCAATCACCACCAACTGCGGATCATGCCACTTCGAAACACCGCCGAAACGACCTTGTGGACTGCGACCATGACGAAAACCAATACCAGAAGAAATCCGATATCCGCTCGATCAAACCATCGCGTTGTTGAAGACGTAGTCATCGAAGAAGTCGAAGAAGTTGCTTGCACCAGTTCGTAGCCTTGCAACATAGTAGCCACGAGGATGGCCACGGCGGCGGCCGCTGCACGTGCTGCATCAGAAACCAAATGCGTGCTAGGAGCAGTCGTCATCTGCCACATCTGCTTGAGGTTGACAAAGATTGCTCCGTTCATCAACTTGGTCAGCATATCAGCTAGCATGTGCTCACCTTTCAAGTGTGCCACCACCAGGTACCCACTGTTTAGCAAAGACCGCAAACCGGCTGCTCGGATTCGCAAGTGACGTGTTCGCCATGCACCAGCGACAACTGAAATGATCGAGCATGCGGAAACGGAATCAATGTATAGCGCTTTGGAAAGGCCATCTTCATTGATCCCCAAAAGCATAGAAACGATAGGCGCGACAGATTGTAGCATAGTTGTTCCTTCCTGGGCAGCGTTGAGCTCAGCTTCCGCTGTGCTCAGTACTATCGTGGTTTGGCGCTGCGTCATCCACATGACTGGGCTGTCGGCCCATACGACCACAGCTCCACTGTGTGATCTCGCCGTTTCTTCACCTTCACATCCCGCAGCAAACGATGCGTCCGTATAAGCTTCCAAGACTGTGACACTCCTTTTGAAACGAAGCTGTGAATCACCACCCAAAGACATAGGATCCACCTTCGAATACTTTAGGCCCAGTGTGACCGTCCTACTCAAGTAATGAAACACTTCATCTGCCTTTCTTGCAACAAAACTCGGATAGCGAGTACACCACACAGAAAGCTGGCTTGTGCAAAAAGCCAGATCTGCTCTAGACTTCAATGCCAGCCATAACAGCTCTCCTACGGCTGCCTGTGCTTTTCGTAGCGCCTCAACAGACACTTCCTCCGGCTCGTCAGGCGGCGCCTCCTTGCTCATTGGCCCAGCACCACCAATGCCGCCTGCATCTGCTTTAAACCCCCGTCGTTGCAACAGGTCCCTGACAAAGTCCTCCTGGTTCAAGTAGTACGCGCCATCATTCCAAAAGATTTGGATACCCAGAAACTTCAACGGTTTGTCGTCATGACCTCTTCCGCAGAACTCTGGTTCAGAAGTTTTCCATTCAGCGCGAATCTGTTGGATGGCATCTGTGATTATGGACATACTCCCGGCTAACAAAAAGTCGTCAACGTATAGTCCCAAAGTGCCTTTGACACTCTCTTTGCCGTCGGAGTCCGTCGCGATGAGCAGGTACAAGCTGGGATCAACCTCTGACTTTTTGAACCTCATGTCCAAACCATCCGTCTGCCAACGCATCTGTAAAAGCCTCGTGTCTCTCCACTCCACCCACGCAGCTGGGCTTTCCGCCAAGCCGTACAAAGCTTTTCGCACCACCCACCGCTCGGATGGCGAAGCAAGTCCAAGCTTCACCGCTGCTTTAGGCGGTTGCACAATGATTAGCCGACCCTGCCGCTGAACTTGGCTCATTGGTGCTGTCAGAAAAGCCTTGGATATATCTAGACCAGCTAGAAACCACTCTTCCTCCGCGGCTTGCCTCACTTGACACCTGAAGGTTGTAGAATCCAATCCTGGAGCGTATAGCCCTTGTCTGCGCAGCATCTTGGGACCTTGTTGTTGAACACTTGGGCTTCCTGATAAGAAGTTTCCACATGCACAAATTCTAGCTCGCCGTCGACCTGAACCTTGTTTACGTGTAAACACCACCAAGCTTGGAACATATTCAAGAACGGGTGCATCAGGAAGCTTCGCCATCTCCGCAAGTTGTTGCTCCGTAGTCCGTTCTACGACCTGCAGCTCCGTGATGAGATTGTTAACCTCATCTGACAATGCTTCTCTCCAATCCTCCAGCTCCTGCATGGCTGTTGTGGTAGGAATTGTGCGAGTTTGAAGAAACTCCTCATTGTCCCCAGCCTCCTGTGCAATCGTCTCTTGTTGCATCTTTAACAACGAACCTGCATGCTGCAAAGACTGCTCCAACTGTCGTTCGATTTCGCGAGAGTGTTGCAGCCACTCTGACGTAGCACTACCTTCAAACACCTCTGGCAACGACACTTCGGCAATCAAGTACTGCTCTTGATCCGCAATCAACCTTCTTAAGCTAGCATGTTGACTTCGAAGACGACCAATGTCTACATCCGATACAGAATTCTCGTCCCCCCCGACATCACCGAACGCGTTTTCAACGAACACTTTATCTTGGACCAAATGTTCTGTTTGACGACAAATCGACGAAGAAGATGCGCGCATTGGAAAGCCGATGTCCAAGAGAAAACTCCGATCCACATCACAAAGTTGATCACTTCCTCGAGGCGTGAATGCTGTGATAGTCCATCTGGTGCCGCTCCACGGTTGAGGACCATGTGCCTGTTGGGGTGAAAATGAAAAGAACTGATTCTTAATGTCCACCGTCTTGCCCACGAGGCTACGATCACCGTACTTCCGCTCCACTGCAGATTGATCCTCCCTAGAGATACCATCATCTTGCACCCACAATTCTCCACCCGTAAACTCGCCAAGAGCACAGATGACATTGTTGCACGAGTAATCGTTGTGACGATCTCTATATGGACTCCCACGGCAGTGTTACACGAAAGATAAACCGCTGAGAATACCACATCTGGATTGTGTTCGCGAACAAAGCTCACCAAGTACTTGACGAACATGGGCCTATGTTTTGCAGCATTGGTCACGCCGCACATATGTCCACGAACATACTGTCCCAAAGTCACAGCTTGAATGCGATCCTCATTGCAGTGAATGTCGCCTCTCCGATTCGCACGAAAATCCAACCCCACAGACTCCAAAAGTTCCAAACACTCTTGTGGTGAAAACTTCTTCTGCTCCAACCACTCACGCGCTAACTCCTCACTTTTTGCGATGTCATCAGTGTAACAGGGTTTTGCAATGCACGCACGCGGACTGTCACCCGACGGGATTTCCACCTCCAAATCTTCCTGCAAAACCTCGCAAGCAACTGGACCCTCCCCCCGGTTCGTGCAGCATAGTGAACGAAGCGACCCATCTGGTATGAAACGCCTCAACGCTGGAAGGACCTCAGCATCCGTCTCCCCCGGAACCCGCATGGTACGAGCCACCCCTTTGAAACGCATCCGATGCTTAGGAGGCGCTGGAAGTTCCTCAGTAAACTCGGCATCACACTCCGGAACCGACGACTTATGTTCCACCTTGTCATAGACCACCGTAGTTGGAAACATAACCAGCTTGTCAGGATCATCTTTAGCGCCCCTAGCTTCAACGATGTAGCCTCCAGAAACCTCTGTGCATGGACCTAACAGTAAAGCCGGCTGTGTCCGATCCAACCACTGACGCCCTTTCTTAGAACCACTCGGATCACGAAGTTCCCAAGCCCTTCGACGCACATGAACCCGAGCACCAAATGGAAGAATATCACGAGGCTTCAATCCCAGCTGTTGTTCAGCCCCTCGCCGTCGAAGAGCTGACCAATGAACAGCGGCACGTGCCCAATAAGATGAATCCAGATTGGCCTGCTTTAGCAGTGCGCGGACGCCTTTTTTGAACACCCCAACCGTAGCTTCACTGCGACCGTTACTCTGTGGTGATCCGGGGTCCCCGGTAGTACGAAAAATCTGTCGAGCCTCACAGAATGTACGGAAAGACTGATTCACGAATTCACCGCCGCGGTCTGTATGAAGCCGCAGAACTGGATAACCTTGATGTTGAAGCTTGACCAAGATACGCTGTGTAGCGGCTAAAACTTCCGATCTGTGTTTTTTGCTTTTGAGAGGTTCGGCAATCATGAAGTTAATCATGCGCACTGGTTTAGTGGCATGATCCTTCAAAGCACGCCAAGCCTCTTCTGACTCGATAACCTTTTTGACCTCAACCTCCGAAGCCTCCAAACGCTCGTCAGGAGTCACAATATCCCCGTCTTCAGGCTCTAAAGACACATCATCCGCACCATCACCTTCTTCATGCGCTCCCACCACATCGTCAGGAATAGGGAAACCCTCTTCAGTAGCCGGTTTATCCAACAAAGGAAACTGATACGTACCAATCAACACATGACGCTGCGTTTGATACAGATCTTTAGCCTCCTGCCAAGGACCACCCAAATCCAATGAAAGAGTATAAGCGCTGCCATACTTTTGTCGAAGGTGACGCCGATCTTTACCTGCAGCCCGAACGCAGACCTCACAGTCTTTACGGAAAGGTATGTGACCCCGCAAGCAATGATCTCGATACTCAGATTCCTCAGCTGTGAGTTTGGCCAGGTGTACCGCCCTCTCCTCAGAAACAGCTTGATGCTCCACGAAAGATGAGTGTGCCAACCACGCCCGCAAACATCGCTTGATCCGCGCTGTAAGCCCCGGAGCCCACAAGGACCACGACCTAGACATAGCCAACCGTTGACTAGCCTCCTCGGGTACTGACACCACCCATGGGACGCGCACATGAACCTGCTCTAGAGACTCCCACAACTGAAAATCGGAAGTAAGAACCGTCGTTGGCTTGACCATATAATGACCCAAAGCACCCTGATCACAATGTGCTGCAAGAAGGTTGTACCGTGTCCTGAAAGATCGCACCTCTGGCCATGCGAAAAATGTTGGAGAAGCTAGGCTGGGTTGACCTTCTTCTGCAACATCTTCCCTGCACATAACTGAACAACCAATCTGAGAAAACTTTTGCCCCACCAATTCTGGATCTTGCGGACTCTCCAATGCGAAAAACACACCAGCATGTACCGAAGAGGATTGCTCCAATGACAAAGCTTGTCGTGCCTGAACAGCTGTCTCAAACAGGAATAGCACCTTCAAAAACAGTAGGCCGTCTTTCTTAGCCAGTTCCTCACTTGAATAGCTGAGCCCATCCTTCCAGAAACGCCCCTCATCACACCTCCCTCGTAGCACTGGTGGTCCACCGTCCTCAACACCCCTGAACTGAGCCACAGTCTCACATGGCGGGCCACCTACCACTGCAACGACCTTGCCCTCAATTGCCAGCGAGAGGATGTACGTCCACACGGAAGAAGAATGAAGGTCAGTACGAAAATCCACTTCTAGAACTTCGCCACAACTACTTGGTAAGTGCAATCGCGGACCGCCTGAGTGCAGATGAACGATGACGCGTCTGGTTTTCTTTAATCGCCGTCTTTTGTGACGATTGTAAAGCAACTCCCCCACTCCCGAGGCAGGAAGAAGATCCACAAGCATCGATTCCGGGACATCAGGATAGTACCAACGCAACCAACGCCAGCATGCCTGAATAAAGTCATCTTGATTTCCACTACGCATAGCACCATGAAGACACTCACGTACTGAATGTTCCGTGTCTGCAGATGGACACCCTTGAAGCGCACGTACAGACTGCAACATGTGAGCAACCCCCTTTTGCTCCATTTCATCAATGATTCGTAGAGCAACCGCCTCAGCAATGCAAGGACAACCATTGACCGTCTCAACTTCCAGAGGGCCCAGTTTTGGATGCGTAGCCGTACACTTTCCTTTGCGCCAACGAACCTGAAGACCAACCAATTCGCTAGCCTTGCCAATCGGAACCAAAGGATCCACCCGCTCGCTTGTAACTAGAGTACCACCATCCGTGAGCATCATTTCCTTCTTGCCCAAAGCCAAAGCCACAGTCACCCTTTTTGTTGGTAAAGGCTCCCCCGGACGCAAGGATCTCAAAGGATGCGAAGCCCCAGAATCAAGCAAACCCACACCTTGTGTACGGCCATGGACCCCATCCACCCGAGCAACATTGAGAAAACCAGATACCACGTCCTCTTCAGATCCAGCGATAGCCTTAGAAGCAGCAGTTCCTTGCAGAAGGTCGTCAATTGAAGACCCAATTGAAGACCCTGACCCCCCCCTAGCTGCTGCATCCCCCAACGCCGTTTCCAAGTCCGCAATCATGTCTAAAGCCACCTGGCGATCGATCACAATGCGGCCATCAAGGACTTGGGCTTTCAAGTCACCCTTCTGAGGATGTACAACCGTGCACCGACCGTCAATCACATCAAAGTCCACATGAAGATGCGAATGAGCAAGATGAAAAGGAACTACAGGGCAAACAGTTTCACGAGTAACCAATGTTCCCACCGAATTGATAAGCATGTGCGCGCAACCAGTGGCCAATGCAACTTCAACAGAATCTGTTGGGACAGGTTCGCCTGCCCTCAGCGTCCGAATAGCATGAGAAGCGCAGGTATCCAACAACCCCAAATTCTGCCCCACAATGGCCTCATCCACCACAAGCTTTTTGGCTGAAACACCCCCGCTGTTTGCCCCAGACCCTTGCGACAACTTAAGCGACTTCAAGATGTCCAAAGCCTCTGCCATCACGCGTGAATTGTCAGATGCCGTCGAAGAAGAAGCAACATTACCCGCACCAGAACTACCAGTATGTATTGAAGCCTCCTCCGTTGCCGTAGCTGACTTAGCCGTGGCCTTCGCCTTCGCTTTTGCCTTTGCCGTTACCAGTTTATCCATTTGCTCTTTTGTAATCGGAGAATGCGAAAACTTGCACCGATCCCCAAACTGGCAAGACTTGTCCAAATGAAAGCCCCAACATGGAGACTTGCCCCCTGGTCCTGACTCAGATTCCCTCGACTTGCCTTTCCCCTTTCCAGGTTGATCCTGTGCTCCCGCTCCTGACGGCTCAGATGTTGTGGATGTTGATGTTGTAGCTGTCGTGGCGGCGCGAGCGGCTGCTTTCGCCTCAGCCCTCGCCTGAGCCTTTGCAAGCTTAGCCTTCTTTTTTGCATCACCATCATCATCACCAGTACTGTGTAGCAAGAGTTCCAATTCAGCTTGAAGAAAGATGGCTAACTCCCCAACCGTCAAGGATGTTGGTGAATAGTCTAGCCCTTTCCGCTCCCGAAAAGTCGCCACCCGAAATAAAACCGTTGGATGTTTCTAAAGCACTGCAGAAACCATTGTGTCAAGACCTTTCACTAAAAGTGTAGCATCCGATTCAGCTGCATGTAGTTCTTTCAATCGCGACCTCCATTGCACCCACTGTCTGACTCCCTTGATCGCCTCCTGCACTGAAGTAGCCGAGGTAGGTGACACCAGATAATGCAACATTGTGCCTCTCTCATGGGCGCCGCCCGGTTGGTATACCGTAAGGAGTTTGAAGAGAATCTGGGAAGGGGACATCCGTCTTGTGGCTACAATATCTGTCTTTACAACTTCAGGAATCGCCTGGAGCAAGAGAATTGAAGCCCGTTGTTCCAATAAGATGTGCTGTGGCATGTGCGTACCATACATCTCTAACTCCGCCTGGATGCCAAGCCGCTCTAATGGTGACACCGAGAGCCACTTAGTGTACGCGCGCGAAGCTCGATCAAAGGTGTAGTCCCACCACACATGGCCCGAATCTGTCAAACTAGAAAGTGTAGGCTTGACAATCGCCAACCAATCACCCAAAGCTGTAGGATTTGATGCGCTGTATTCCGATAGAGTTGGCAACGACATGACACGTTTGCCCAGCACCTCTGGACGCTCCACGGTATGCCCCATCCCACTCGCCACCTGCGGAATAGAAGACGACGGACCTGGATGAGGAGAAGCAGCAGGAGTTAAAGCCACAGGAGAAATATCCAAAGTACCGTTGATCACCCGCCACTTGTAAGGAATCCCAGAAATCATGGTGACCCAGCCGCTGCTTCACTGGATGTGTGATCCCGAGACACCGAAGTTGCAGGAGCAGGACGTCCGGGTGATTGACCAAAGGTTGGAGCATTGTCCGCAACCGAACCCCTAGCACCACTCCCACCCGAACCCCGAGAATCCTGAAAAGGGAAAAACGGCTGTACAGGATGCTTTTGGTTGGCACTACCACTCAGACTACCAACTACTTGCCCCAACGATTGCGACCCGGGGCCCTCAAAGACCTCTGGCCCGATTGAAGAGCTGGCGTTCCTGTGTGGCACATCCACCCTCGCTGCTGACGGTATCGCGCCACTCAGGATCCCCTGCCCCTCCACCGAGCTAGAGATCTTTGGTGGCACCATCAAACCAGGAGTAGATGCACCCACGACTTCATGAGCAGCTAGCGCGCGATCCCTTGCAAAGCTCCCCTCCTCTAACTCCGCCATGTTAAAGATCACCGCTCCAACTGGAATTCGATTCTCATCAACCCACTCCCACTCACCAGCGGCTGTGAAATTCCAAATGGTTCCCAATGCATCCCGATAATACTCCTTTCCTTCAAGAATAACCGCACTAGATTCCAAAGGTCTTTGCACATCCACGTCTGATGGAATGCTTGTCGTCGGAGCCTGCAAACCTGGAGGATGCTGTGGAACAAACTTGCCCAGCGACACTGTCTCTACAGACTTTCCAGAATGTATCGAGCCAAAACTTCTCTCTTCTACTCTCTGCATTCTCTCTGATAGTTGCGCTTGGAATTGCGCTTGGCTTTCCATCATAGTTTGCAACAGAGTTTCCAAGCGGCTCAAGCGTCCCAGTTCCGGTTGGTCTGGAATCAACTCTTCTTCTGTTTTATCTGGTTTAATCGTAGTTGATGAAGAAGGCGTGGCGGCTGGAAGACCGTCCACCGGCTGAACTTCCCTACTCCCGCGATCCAGGGCTGACGAAGGCAACGGTTGTGGAACTGTTGGGCGCCTTTCGGGACCATAACTAACTGGATTACCTACTGGAACCGTTACCCCCGCATGCCCAGCAACGCTTGAGTCTTCCAAGGGTGGTAAAGTTGCAGGTCTCATCTGCCGAAGTTGGGATTCTGTCCGCGCTCGCTCACTCCAAAATGCATGTGGTGTGCTTACAGACTGCATCTCATGACTGCGAGCCACTGCGCTTGACTGCATCTCTTGATTGCGAGCAGTCACGCCTGACTGCATCTCATGACTGCGAGCGGTCACGCTTGACTGCATCTCATGACTGCGAGCGGTCACGCTTGACTGCATCTCATGACTGCGGGCCACTTCACGACCATCTAACAAAGCAGGAGCAGGCCCAGCAGAAGGCGAACGACGCATAACAGGATCCATGGCTTAGCACAGGGGGAACCGCGTTTGGGCTCATAACCTACGGGGTAAAATCCGCCCTGAACCACACCAGAAAAGCCCTGACCCTGAAGCCCCGAAGCCGAAAACACCCTCAAACCCGGCCGGAAAACAATCCCAATCCCTACAACCACACAACCTCCGTGAAATAAGGACTAGGGTGACCCCAAAGAGGTGGGGAAACCACTCAAGCACAAACGAAAACTTTTAAACCTTGAGCCACGTGTCACGTTGGTACACTTCTCGATGTACCTTAGTGTGTCATCCTTGCGCAGGGCGAGACAATGCCATGCGACCTGATTTGTGCGTGTCTTCTTACGCAGGGGCTTTGCTTGCAAGGCCCTTGCCTCGCACCCTAAACCCAAAACCCGAAGCCCTAAATCCTAAACCCCAAACCCTAAACCCCAAACCCCAAGCCGTAAACCCCAAACCCAAACCCCAAACCCTAAACCCTAAACCCTAAGCCCTAAACCCTAAGCTCTGGGGCCGCAGCCGGTTTGATGAGTCCCACAGCAGGAACTCCCTTAAACTATAAGGGAGTTCATACGGTTGATGGTATAAATCCTGCATTTCCCATAATAAGGAATACATGGGAATTAGGGTATATTCCTTATTATGGGTCATGCAGGATTTGTCTCCAGATTCCTTAATTCAAGGGTATTGGGCTCTCTGGGTGCCACGTCTTAACTAAGGAGGCGGCTGCCAGCTCGGTGAGTCGTGTCGCCATTGCTCCTCGCTTCAGGGCGTAGATGGGGGTCTGGGTTCAGGGTTAGGGTTCAGGGTTAGGGCTTAGGGCTTAGTGTTAGGGGTTAAGGGCTTAGGGTTCAGGGTTTGGTCTTTAGAGGTTTTGGGGTTTAGGGTTTCGGGTTTAGGGTTTGGTGTTTAGGGTTTAGGGTTTAGGGCTTTTCAAGTTTAGGGGTAAAGTGTGTGTTGTCCGGACTTCAGGGGCTGAGGTCTCGAGTCTGAGTTTCCGGTACCTCCAAGCCCACAAGCCAAACGTTGTATATAGGGTTTAGGGTTTAGGGTTTAGGGTATATATTCCGAACCCGGGTCCCACGATGTGTGACAACTCTACCACTGAGTCCATCAAGAGTTCCAACATCAAGAGTTCCAAGATCCAAGATCAGGCAATGAGGTACGAAGTTTTGGATGCACACATTTGTCGCCATGCAGTCCTGAGAAGTCAGATTCGTCGTTCGCGTTTTTTCTTGCGATGCAGGGGTGGCCAGTAGCTACACCTTGAACCTACAACTGCACACTAAACAAAGGCCCTACACCCTAAACCCCGAACCCTGAGCCGTAAACGTCTAAACCCAAAACCCTAAACCCTACACCCTGAACCCTAAACCCTAAACGTCTAAACCCAAAGACCCCTAGCGAGGCTTCAAGGGTCGTGCACCCAGAGGGTGCAGGATCCCCCAACCCCGAACCTGCGAGCCTGAAGAGTCAGCCCAATATCCCACCAACATCCCTTAATTAAGGAATATAGCTTAAAAGATAGTAGGATCCCTCATCTGATTTAAGGTTTATCCCTTGATTTAGGGATATTGGAGTCTCTGGGAGCAGTGCAAGTACTATTCCTGGGTTTCAGGTGTTTCCGGCGTCTTTATAATCATTTCTGCAACGAAATCATTGAGATTTTTTGTTTATTCAAGCGTGTATGTTAGAAAGCTGTCTGTGGTACTCATAGAATTCTCCGCAAGGTGTAATGGTGCGAAGACATGCACACCTGAACTCTGGAACGTAGTACCTGAGTGGGTTCATATTTCTTTTTTCGGTGTTGTTGCGCTAATTGATATAGTATATCCCTACCAACTAAGCCCCCGGATCCTTTGAGTATATCCAAAAGCCTTAAAACCGTAAAGCCTAAACCCTGAGGTCACCTTCCCCACACGGCGCCCGCCAAGCTTGACAAGAAGCAGCGGGCGCTCCTGCAGTGACAAGATTGCATAGCTGCGGGCCTCGGGGCTTAAGAGCTTAGGGCTTTAGGGTTTCAGGGTTTTAGGGCTTTGGGGCTTAAGGGTTTTCGGGTTTAGGGTTTCAGGGTTTTGGAGTTTACGGTTAGGGTTTAGGGTTCTGGGTTTAGGGTTCAAGGTTTTGGGGTTTAGGGTCTAGGGTCCAAGGGCTTTGAGGCTTTTACTGTAGGGCTTTAGAGCCTAAGGGCCTCAGGGCTTCAGGGATTCAGGGATTCAGGGATTTAGGGCCTTTTAGGGTTTAGGGTTTAGGGTTTAGGGTTTAGGGGTTTAGGGTTTAGGGTTTAGGGTTTAGGTTTAGGTTGCAAGCTTCTTACCCTCGAAGAGATCCTTGGACCCCCCCTTTAAATACATTTATGGGCTTCCGGTACCGGGTTTAGGGTTGAGGGTTTTAGGGCTCAAGGCCTGTAATCCAAGGCTCCTCTTGAACCCGATGCTCTAGAGGTCTGAGTCTTCAGTCGTCAGTCACCAGTGATAGTATACTACAGGGGCCTATTTAATTTCCAATACTATTTTGGGGGTTCCTTATTATGATTATAGTATAATGGGCCCCAAAACCTATTCTAGTTATTAAGGCCCCTATATTACCACCAAATCCCATTCCAACTGTTCCGACCTCTGCATCATTCCCCAACCCGGAAGCCAATGTAGAAGCCTGAGCCCTTATACACCCCTAGGTAGAGCCGTGGCAGAGTCCCCATTCTACTGTAGGAGCCTGAATAATTGAGAATGTTCATCCTTGGGATTACTAAATATTATTGTCACGAAAACACACCTTAGACAGTCGTCTCATTTTTGAGGTCCCTATAGTACTTACTGTTGATGATATAAATCCAGCATTACCTCAAGGACCCTAAACTATGGGAATAGTGGTATATTCCTCATTATGGGTACTGCAGGATTTATATCATCAACCGTTATTGGGGCCTCGACGTATGCTGCTTGATCTTTGAGCTGAGGCAAACGACCTCGGAGGAGTTGATCGGAGTGCCTTGGGACGTGAGGGTCTATAGGGTTTGCTGCAGCTATCTCCATTGAACGGTGTATAAGAGTTTGCAGATTCTTGTCGAATTGTATTGCGGGAAGGAGATACAAGTGAGATTATCGCCGAGTGTTCTGTCGACCTGATATGGCGTCTTGTGTTTATTTCGGGCTGAACCCTTCTGTTTGTCAGGTACTTCTGCCTCACATCCGCACCCGCGCAGAGAACGCTGGGCTCACAGGGCAGGCCGGGCCCTACAGGACCATTTTAGGGTTTAGGGTTTAGGGGCATTGACTGCCGAGGGTTTCATAAGGCTCACAAATTCAAGAGTTCGTCAGGGTATTAATCTACTGGTTTGCTAATGTACCAGTTTACCTTATGCTGATTTACTAACACTAATATACAAATACTTTTAGTGGGGTCTTTATGACAGCCGCAGATTAGGGCTGAGGGCTTAATGTTTGCGATGCAGGTTCGAGTTTCGGGTCGAGGGTTGGAGCTGTGGGCTTAGCTTGAGAAGCCCCGTGTCTGTGAAACTCCACACAGAGGGTTTAGGGTATAGGGATGTTTAGGGTGTGCGATTTCTTTCTAATGCAGCATCTCGATCAACACCTCTCAATCAAATCGGGCTCGAATGTTGCTTTTAGGGGCAGTCTGGCCATGCAGTCCCATGTATCAAGCAAAGACTCAAGACCCTAGATTTTGGTTTAGAGTTTGGGGTCTAGGGTTTCTAGGGCTTCCTTTAGTTTAAGGGTTTAGGGCTTAGGGCCTTGTACGGGCTTACAGGGAACTCCAGAAAGTTGGAATATGGTTTCATGGTAGGATACCCTATAATTTACCATAGAAGGGTTAGGATAATCATATTCCAACTTTCTGGCTTTTACCTTAGAGTTTGGGGTTAGCTTATGAAATCCCAGAATCTACGACACCCATGGTCCCAGGAGTCAAACTCAAAGCCCGACGCCTTCTCAGCGGCTGAGTAGGTATCCTTTAACTTTAACCTTTTGGGGCTTACATATAATCCTAGGATAGTTCAAAGGGCTAACTTTTGCTGGACTTGGACATAATTTCACCGGCATGTCTACAACAATTTAAAAAGGTTAACCATTTTTTGGGCTAGGATACTCAGCCCTTCAGCCTTAAACCCTCAATCCTAAACCCCCAAAGCCCCCAAAACCCTAAACCCCGAAACTCTAAACCCTTAAACTCCTCAACCCTCAATCCCTAAACCCCTTTAAAATTCCCTAACCTTAAGCCCACAACCCTAAACCGAAAGCCCCAAAGGCTGCTACGCTCATCTCGCTCTTGGCCGCTCCAATGGAGATCAGAATTCAGGGCCTTGTAAAGGGGTGTTTTGGTTCTTTTGCGTAGCTTTGATAAGGTTCCTAAGTGGGCTTAGTTCGGTATCTAAATAATCGATTAGGTAGGCTTTCTTACTGTTTCGGGTCTACCCGGGCTTAAATCAATGGGAAAGGATCTCGTTGGGTTTCTTTACGGTTTCAAGACGGCTTGGTAGGTTTGGAATTTGCAAGGATTACTTTCGGTTTATCCCGGTTTTGTTGCAGTTCCAACATGTTTTACTGGCATTACAAGTGCTATGTACGGCTTTTATGGTTACTAGGGCCTGTGGTTGCACAGAGCGTTTGGAAGATCATTA